TCCCTCTCCCAGGATCCCTCTCCAGGTCCCTCTCCCAAGATCCCTCTCCCAGGATCCCTCTCCAGGTCCCTCTCCCAGGATCCCTCTCCCAGGATCCCTCCCCTGGAGTCCCTCCCCTGGAGTTCCTCTCCAGGATCCCTCTCCCAGGATCCCTCTCCAGGTCCCTCTCCCAGAACCCCTCCCCTGGAGTCCCTCTCCCAGGATCCCTCTCCCAGGATCCCTCTCCGGGTCCCTCTCCCGGGGGTCCCGGGCTCCCTGTGCCCTCCCTCACGCCCGTCCTTGCCTTGCAGCCGCTGGAGCTGCTGTGTGAGAAGTCCATCGGGACGGCGAACCGGCCCATGGGCGCGGGCGAGGCGCTGCGCCGGGTGCTGGAGTGCCTGGCCTCGGGCATCGTCATGCCAGGTGAGCCGCCCCGACCTGCCGTTCCCGCCGGGAAGCGGCGCCGGGAGGAGCGCGGGGGGTGACGCGGTGACCGGGCAGCCCCTCGTGGTCCGGCCCGGCTCCGGCCACGCCGGGAACCGTCCCCGCCCTCGGGACGCCGGCTCAGAGCCACCTCAGCCCCGTAGAGAGAGGGAGGGACCGCTCGGCTCCCGGAGAGGTCGGGAGCAGCTTCCCGCAGAGTGTCCGTGGAAACGAGCCCGGGCAGTCCCAGAGCGCCGGGCGAGCGCCGGATCGCGGCCGGCCCGCGCTCTCGGAGCGTCGTTGCCGCCCCAGGGACTTTAGTTCAGTTGCTTTAGAGAGACCCGGGATAATTCTCTGCATATCTTCCTTGTTTCCTGCCTTCAGATGGTTCTGGTATTTATGACCCTTGTGAAAAAGAAGCCACTGATGCTATTGGGCATCTAGACAGACAACAAAGGGAAGATATCACACAGAGTGCTCAGGTATAGTGTGACCTCCAGACCTTGCGGAATTCCCCGGCTCGCCCGCCGCTCCCGGCCCCGTTGGCCAACGTAGACTAGTGCCCTGTGGCCGCCGGTGGCCGAGCCCGGGCCGCCCGCACGGGCCCCACGGGGCGCGGAGCTTGGCCCGAACCAGAGCAAAGAATCAGGTGTTGAGGAGTGACTCGCCCCCCCTCCCCCGGCCCCGGCCCCCATTTTTGGGTTAAACCCCCCAGAAAACGGTGAATCCAGAGAGTCCCGCGAAGGGCTGAGGATCGGTGTGAGGGCGGGCGGGGGCTGCGGGCAGCGGGTCCCCCGCGGCCCCCTCGCTGACACCCCCTCCTCTCCCCAGCACGCGCTGCGGCTCGCCGCCTTCGGCCAGCTCCACAAGGTCCTGGGCATGGACCCCCTGCCCTCCAAAATGCCCAAGAAGCCAAAGAACGAGAACCCGGTCGATTATACTGGTACGTACTGGGAGGGGAGGGAGCGGCCCCCGACCTCCCTCCCGGCTCGGGGTGGGGAGCAGAGAGTTGAGGGGCTGCTTGTGCTGGTCCCCCACAGTCCAGATCCCGCCCAGCACCACCTACGCCGTGACCCCCATGAAGAGGCCGATGGAGGAGGACGGGGAGGAGAAATCCCCCAGCAAGAAGAAGAAGAAGATTCAGAAAAAAGGTATTGAGTTAACGAGAGGTAGGTACAGAGGGGTGGGAGTGGGGGCACAGGGAATGGGGGCATGGATGGGGGGGAATGGGGGCACGGGGAATGGGGGGACGGGGGGGGGGGGGAGGGTGGGGGGGCAGGGGGGGGAGGGGGGGGGGGGGGGGGGGAGAGAGGGGGGGGAATGGGGGCACAGGCAGGTGGGCTCAGGGATGCAGGACTTTGGGCATTTCAGGGCTCTAAATAGGGGTGAGGGGGTTGATAAAAGAACTTGAAACTGGGAGGTTTGTGCTGGGTAAAACTGAGACCAAGGAGGAGATCAGAAATTGTCTGGAATTGGAAAATACCACCAGGAACGGGTCTGGGATCAGGAAATACTGATCAGGGCTGGTCTGAAGTGGGAAAATATGGGTCAGGAGTGGTCTGGAATTGGAAAAGACCAATGGGAACGGGTCTGGAATGGGAACAGACCCATCAGAACTGGTCTGGAATGGGAAGAGACCAATAGGAATTGGTCTGGAATGGGAAAAGACCAATGGGAACTGGTCTGGAATGGGAA